GCCTCGGGGCACATCCACATGTGATAAAATGTACCATCAACTTTTTTGCACTTCAAACATTTAGGACTCATATTGGAGTAGATTTTTGCCAATCTTGTTGGGGCTAAATACCATCTATAAAACATTTTATATATGATTTCTTTGTATGCTGCAGATACCGTTAATTTATAATTTATATTCCATATTTTCTCCCATTCCTCTAATTCTATAGTGTATCCAAAATTCTGTGACCATGCAATCACTGTACTTTTGACTATTTCCTCATTTTTAAATCTAATAAATATTTATATATTTTAGTTATAAGTTTTTGTTCCGGTCCCATTAATATTTTATCTAGTTGGTTCTGCCCTTTGTCAAATCCAAAATCTTTTGAGTCTTTTTTATATTTATTTTGAATTTGCAAATATGGCCACCAATCGATTATAATTCCATTTTCCTTCAGTTCTTGGTTTGATTTTAATTTCCCTTGACTATCTAATAGTTCTTCATAGCTTACCATTTTCCGTAGGTCTAATCTGTTTGGATGTATTATGGCTTCCATGGTTGACAGCCATCGTGGGATTTCTGTATAGTGTTTACCTTTTATTTTTTTCCAAATTGTAATCAATGAGTCTCTTATTAGGTGTTGATTGAAATAGGTATGTATATTACTTTTATTTTCCCACAAAAATGCATGCCAACCTATCAAGGTTGTCCTTCTAATGTTAAGATTCTCTTGTCTCTTAATTTAATCCAATCCTTAATCCAACTCAACACCGCTGCCTGGTAATAAAGCTCCCATTCTGCTAATCGGAGACTGCCTCTGCTCCTATTATCTTGTAATAGTTTCATTTTAATACGTGGCCACTTGCCCAACCAGATAAACTTGGATGTCATTTTATTTAGTTCTATAAAAAAAGATTTCCCTAATTTAATTGGAATCATTTGGAATAGATATATTAGTTTTGGTAATATACGTCGCTATACTTCCTAATATAGACAGTTTCAATTTGGCCCATAATTCCAATTCTTTTCTGATTTGCTTAATCAGTTTAACATAATTGTCCTCTTTTAATGATGAACATCTGGGTGATATTCAAATTCTCAGGTATTTCACCTTTTTTACTATTTGCAGACCCATTATGTTTTCTAATTCTACTTTCTGTTTTGTTGTACAGTTTTTGACTATCATCTTAGTTTTATTTTTATTTATTTTAAATCCTGCTGCTTCCCCAAATTTTTCTATTTGTTGCAACAATATTGGTCCCGAATTCATTGGATCTTCCACTATAAATACCAAATCATTGGCAAATGCCTGAACTTTATATTCCTCATTTCTAATCTTAATTCCATAAATCTCTGGGTTTTGTCTGGTTTCAGCTAGCAACACTTCTAAAGACAAGATAAATAACAGAAGCAATAATGGACACCCTTGTCTCACTCCTTTTGCAATTTCAAAATCTTCAGTACAATCTCCACACTTGCTTTTTGATTTGAGTATATTTCTTGTAGTGTTTTTTCTATATTAGTGCCAAAGTTCAGCTTTTTAATTTGATATAGCATGAATTTCCAATTGAGATTGTCGAATGCTTTTTGTGCATTTAAAAAAATTAAAGCTACCTGTTTTTCTGGGTGAGCTTCGTAGTATTCAATTGAATTTAGTACTGTCCTAATATTGTTTTTAATTTGTCTATTTGGCAGGAAACCATTCTGGTCTGTATGTATAAGTTCACTCTAGTTTCATTCTTTCTGCTAATATTGTCATAAATATCTTATAATCTATATTTTTGGATACAACCCCTGGGTGTATCGTAATTCATATTCTCCAATGGGACACATCCATAGCCAAGAGTCATCAATCATGCTCTCCAGTTAGAATTTTGCACAGCAGAAACTTCGGTCACCAGTTACTATGTTTGAAAACATTTATGGAATGTAGTTTCAGCTTTTCAAGCTGTTACATGCTCTCTCTCCCTTTCTGTTGGCAACTCTAAAAGACCATAGAAATATTTTATGAGTTGACATGGGGATGTGGTGTGGGGAGGGGAATGGGATCTGGAGGGATGGGAATCACTCCCAAAGCCTGCAGGGACCACAAAATGAAGCACAGGGTCTTTGGGGCTGGAGGAGGATTTGGGAGGCCTGGGCAGGTGGTCCTGAGTCTGTAGACATCTCAGGACCTCCTTTACTCTGAAGCAGGGGTGGGATTCTTCCGGTTCGGGTGAACCGGATGTTAAAATTATATCTGGTTTGCCGAACTGGCATTTCAACTGACTGGCTGGCCCCATCCACCCTGCTCCACTCCTCCCACGAGTCTCCATGCAATGCAGGTAAGTGCAGGGTCCACATGGAGGCTCTGGGAGGGGGAAAACGGGTCTTCCGGAAGACTGGAAATGGGCCTGTTTCCAGCTTCCGGGGGGCCTCCAGAGGCCCGGGGGAGGCCTCTGGACTCTTGGGCGGGTGAAAAACAGCCCTCCTGGAAGTACCAGAAGTCTGGAAACAGGTCTATTTCTGGGTTCCGGTGGGCCTCCAGAGCCTGGGGGAGGCTGTTTTCGCCCCCTCAGAGGCCCAGGCCTCCCGACCCTTGAAAGAATGAAAATGAACTCCCCCGGGCTCTGGAGGCCCACTGGAAGCCGGAAACAGGAAGTTCTGGCAGGCCACGTACACCATAGCCACGCCCACCCAGCAACAAGGCAGCAAACCAGTTGCTGGGATTTTTTAATCCCACACCTGCCCTGAAGGCACCCCATGCTCTACTTAGCAATCTACACAGTCACTTAATGGATGCAATGGGAAGAACAGGAATGACAATGACAGTTAATAACTGTCATGACTTGCCTCCATTAAGGGGCAGGCTACATTACAATTTAAAATCAAGGACTACATTTATATGGATGGAAGACGGATGGATGGATGGATGTGAGAGGCAGGGAGGGAGGAAGGGAGGCAGGCAGGAGAAAAGGAAGGAAGAAGGAAGGAAGGAAGGAAGGAAGGAAGGAAGGAAGGAAGGAAGGAAGGCATTTCTCCCACATGATCTCTCCACAACATATGGGTAATGATGTCAGGAGATGTTGATTTACTGAGCAGGGTATCTCTGGGATCTGATGGCTGAAGCATCCCTTAAAAATGAATTAGTTGGCTGTCAATACTAATTTAGGTGGAAATTTTGTTTATATCTATTTAATGATTGAGCCAAAGTGTGTATACTGTAAGGAAGAACATGATATCCACATTTCCCTTTTGTATTCTTTTGTACATTTGATTTCTTTCTAAACTGAAAAGATCCAAATATTATTATTTTTCCTCACTGATTGTGCTTTTTGCAGCTGTAAAATACCCCTTTTGTATGTTGGATATGTCACTGACCAGAATTGTATAATATTTATTTATTTGTTTGTTTGTTTGTCAAACATGTACAAGATAACAAATATGAACATAAACAAAAGCAAAGGAAGTAAATACAGATAAATGGGGACAGTAAGACAGGGACGGTAGGCACGCTGGTGCGCTTATGCATGCCCCCTTTAAGGACCTCTTAAGAATGGAGTGAGGTCCACTGTAGACAATTTGAGGTTGAAACTGTGAGGGATTGAGGCTGTAATAATGGAGTCGGGTAGGGCATTCCAGGTGTTGACCACTGTGTTGCTGAAGTCATATTTTCTGCAATTGAGTTTGGAATGGTTTACCTGAGTATGTATCTGTTGTTTGTCCGTGTATTGTGATTGAAGCTGAAGAAGTCATTGACAGGCAAGATGTTATAGCAGACAATTTTGTGAACTATGCTTACATCGGACCGCAGGTGGCGCAATTCTAGATTGTCCAGGCTGAAAATTTCAAGCCTGGAGGCATAGGGAATTCTATTGTGAGTGGAGAAGTGGAGTACTTTTCTCAAGAAATGCGTCTGAACCCGCTCAATTGTGTTAATGTCCAATATACAGTGCAAATGTGAGTCTATTATTGATGTTCTTGGACCAAAGAAAATTCCAGAATAATTGTTGGGTAAATGGTAGTGGAAGCCATTCTTAACAGAGCAAATATTTAATTCACATTGCAGAAGTTCAATCTGCACTTTGACTTAAACCTTATAAGTATTTTGGAGAATCCTAATCCCACTTACAGTCTTCCATGGCTCCTTGAAATCGTCTTCTAAAGTTGCATTCTTTTCCCCATTCGATGGGGAATCTTTTTTACGTCAAGTTACAATAGAGTGGCCTATCCCAATGTCCCATTTATTATCCATGAACCTATGAAATAAAAAATTTCAAGAACCCAAAATTTGAGCAAGCAATATTTAATGATTTAAAGTTAACACAAAACCGACTTGTATAGCTCAATTTCTAATGAGTAGCTCTTTTCTTTGCAGGAAAGTATGGGCAGAATTGCAGCCTCGATGAACTTAGAGAAGAGGAAGTCTTGATTTTATGACGAACTGAAGCATATTAAGTGTCACTGAACTAACCAATATAGTCATTCATATTGTATTAGTATTAGTAAATATATGTTCTGCTGCAAAAGATGCTTGAAACTTAATCTCAAATGCAATCAACTACATATGCTTTGCCCAAGAAAGGCTTTTTTCTCTTATTGCTAAATGCCTTATTACATTTATAATTATTCAACTGACATTATATGAACATTGACAAATGGCTTGGTTTGTGAATTAACATAGCAAAACAAATCTTTATTCATAACTTTCACATCAAAGTTGTTTTGATCATGCCTTTTCACATCAAAGTTGTATTGACTCATTTGAAAGAGTTACTTAAATCCAGTACAGATAGTCCTCCACTTACAACTGTTCATTTAGTTACCCTTTTGAAGTTACAATGGCACTGAAAAAAGTGATATGACAATTTTTGACACTTATGACCATTGTAGCATCTCCATGATCAAAATTCAGACATTTGGTAACTGATTCATATTTATGATGTTCCAATGTTCCGGGATCATGTGATCCCCCTTTGCCAACTTCTGACAAGTAAAGTCAGTGGGGAAGCCAGCATCACTTAACCATGTTACTAACTTAATAACTGCAGTGATTTATTTAACTGTGGCAAGGAAGATTGTTAAATGGGGCAAAACTCACTTAACAAATGTATCTTGGGCTCAATTGTGATCATAAGTTGAGGACTACCTATATTGCAGAGGTCCATAAAAATGCACCAATAAAAAATCATTCAATTTTTTTCCTAAAGATATGCTTTATAAGACTGCTGAAATGTCTTGCTCTCCAGTAGAATGAGAGTAAGTGGAACTGGCCCGTTCCAGAGGTTCTCGATATAGAAAGACACAGTATTTTGAGAGATGGTGACCACCATGTTTTCGGAAAAAGGTAATAGTGTATTTTCTAAATTTCTCGCCAGCAAAAGCATAGATCACAGGATTGATACAGCAATGAGCTATTGCAAGTGTTTCAGTCACTTGAGTTGCTATACCGATACCATTTAATTTGCTGCAATTATCAAGGGATAAATCAGTTTGGAACAACTGGAGCAGAACAACAACATTGTATGGGGCCCAGAAAAGGAAATAAACAATCATTATGATAAAAATAAGCCTGACTGCTTTGTTCTTCTTCTCATTTCTGCATCTCAGCAAAGTATTTATGATGCATGCATAGCAGAAAATCATAACCATCATTGGAAAAATCAAGCCTATGAAGTTCAGTTCCAGTGTAAAGAACACGTTCCATCTGAAGGAACTTTGATGAGGAAAATGAAAAGAACATGTTATCCTACCATTTTCTTCTTGTGCTCTAATAAAGATTATTCCTGGTGAACAGGCTAGAATTGCTAGGCCCCAGGTAATAATGCTTGTGATGATGCCATAGAATACTGTTCTGGCTTTTAATGCAAACACTGCATAGACTATTGCTAAATACCGATCAATAGTCAAGAGGATTATGAAAAAGCTTCCACTGTAGAAGCTTAAAAAATAGATTCCAACAATAATTTTGCACATTGGATCTCCAAATACCCATTCATCTGCTACATAATGAATCCGAAATGGGATTGAGAAAATGAAAAGCAAATCAGAAATGGCTAAATTTAATAGGTATATATCAGTCATACTCTTGAATTTCTTATATTTGATTAGAATCAGTACAACTAGCATGTTACCCAAAAGACCAAAGATGAATACCAAAGAATAAAGGGTAGGCAGGATACTGGAACCAAATTTTTGGGAAGCCTTTGCCTGGCATGGTGTTACCATACCACTATAGTCATATTCAGTGGTGGTATATACTTCATTTGTTCCATTTATTAGATTGTCCATCTTGTTCCCTGTTACTGAAAAAGACAGAGTTGTTTACTATTAAAGGGAGACAATACAAAGCTTTTAAAAATATTGAAAACATATAATAGTAACAATGCCGTGTTGATTTTCCTATATAAGAGAACACACTGAATTTTAACCAAAGGAAAAAGATCACCTTTAATCTGCATAAAAGTTACCATATTTGGGATGAAAAATTGACTCATTGGAGATTTGCATCTGCTAGAACTTGACTAACTAATTGTGTCCATTGAAAACAGCTTTATTTTTGGAGATGCAACCAAATAGTGAAAGCTTTATATATGCTAATTGATCTGTAATATGTCTTACACCAGAGGTGTCAAACTCAATTTGTTGAGAGGCACATCAGGGTTGTGGTTGACCTTGAGGGGCTGGAGTGGGCATGGCTGGCACATGCAAGTGGGCAGCGCTTCTGGGCCACAGATAGTGTTCATTCCTGCACCCAGCCAATTCCAATTCCAGGGCGGCCTTACTGTTTGAGGCCTTCAACTGAGTGAAGAGGCACCACGGGGCCAGGCCCCTCACTCCAGTGTCCAGCCTGCCAGAGCTCACCACACAAGAGAAATGAGAGATCCCCATTGTCCTGCAGAGCCCGCTTACTCTTCTGCAGGGAGAAGGAGGAGAGTGGTGAGGCTTTGTGCCAGGTGGGGAGTAGGTCAGGCAGGGCTGGCTGGCTAGGGATGGGGGGTCATGGCTGCTCAGGGGGCTCCTGCAACCGCCGCTGCCTGCAGCTTGGGTGCCTAGGCTGTATCCAAGCTAAAGAAAGCAGAAGTGCAGCACTGGAATTGCCCTCAAAGATAGCTCCATTTTCAACTACCCCATTTGCATGTAGGCTGGGTCCTCGGGACAATGGGGTCTCATTCCTCCACTGGCACAGCAAACTCTAGTTGCAGTTGTGAGGGGCCTGGCCCTTGGTCAGTTGAAGACTTTATTCCTGAACTCAAACAGTAAGGCCAGTGCATGTGAGCAGTGCACCCAGGCCACAGACGGCACTGGTTCCTGCACCCAGCCTTAGATCTGACCAGCAGGGCTGCCCTGGAGCCAGGAGGCACCTCCCAGCTTCTTTGGCCCTGTCCGCTGGGTGTATGAATAGGAGACAGCAAGTACTTGGCCTGGCAACCTGGGTGAAAGGGAGGTGCTCAGAACACAATCAGTCTATGGGAGAAGATGGTCCCCAGGGACACCACGCCCTGTGCGCATTCGCCTCCTGTCCAGGTGTTTTACACTCAGGGGTGGGGTGCTATGGGTTTGCCTGGGTTTAGGTGAATCCATTGCTAACGTTATGGCTCATTTGGCAAATTGCCAAATGCCACCACCCATCCTGCCCCTCCCAGAAGTCTCTATATGGAGGCTCGGGGAGGAGGAAAACCGGCCTCCCGGAAGTTCCAGAAGTCTGGAAATGAGCCCATTTCCAGGAGGGCTTCCGGAGCCTTGAGGAGGCCGTTTTTGCCCTCCTAAGGGCTTGAGGAAAGCCTCTGGAGCCTGGGGAAGGTGAAAAACAGGCCTCCTGGAAGTTCCAGTAGGCCATGCCCACCATGGCCATGCCCACCCAGCAACTGGGCAGAGAACCTGTGCTGAGACTTTTGAAGCCCACCCTTGCTTACACTCATGTAAATACATGAAATGGCAAGTACATGCAAATGGAGTTAACTTTCCAAAATCTTGGATCCCAAGCACAATTCATTTAACAAAAAGTCAAACCAGATTTCACTGGATATTAGTTACTGAGAAGATTTTCCTATTGTTACATTAAATGCACATAAAATATCCGAAAAGAGTCCATTTTCAACTTATTAAATCCTTCTACTATTGAAGGAGCAACTTATATAGCCTTATGGCTAAAATGTGTTTGGAAAGTAGCTGAGAAGAATGAATCAGAATGAAAACTTGTTTTCCCACAGGTTCCAATGGATTCCAATAGAAGCAGTGCTGGGAGTGGTGGATTTGCTTGAATGACATACACTATTTTCTGACTCCCTATTTATTTATCTTAGATTTTTATTGTGAAGTGAAACTTCATAATAATATCAGGGTTCCCATTTTGCACAACAATACTACAATTTTCATTCTACAAACATTTAGAAGCAAATTGATGAGTGGTACTGAGACCAATCAGACCAGCTTCTTATCTGATTTAGAATTCTGAAGAACCAGAAATTTCACAGTCCTTTTTGCCTTGATAGTGTTCTTGATTAACATTATAATTCTGCATTTTACTTTCACAGATTAGAATATTTTTATTTGTTATCATCACCTTAATCAATGGCCAGAATACAAATTAATAAAGGAATATAAATTAATAAAAAGACATGAAGGAATTATCAAAATCGTATACTTTCATAAAACATATTTATGCTTCAGTGTTACTTACTGAACTTTTCCAATGGAATTTTTATTACTCTTAGGCTTCCAAGAAGGACATATTCCCATAGCAGGAGTTAATTGAAGAAAATAGTCACAAAGGCTTGCATGTACATGTTCCCTGAGGAATGAAAGAGAACAACATCATCGGATGTTGGAAGGAGAACAGAGTTTTAAAGCAGAATTAGGGAAACTGAAGACATTCAGAATTAATAGTACAATTGTACTATGCTCAGAATCTTTAGGGATTCAGCAGTCATAATAATTTATTATTGTATGATAATAAAATTGCAACTATAACAGAAAGATGAGAAGAAAAAAGAGCAGTAAAAGAATATCTGAAGGACACAGAAAAAGATCCACTGAAGCTTGTATACTATGAAGGCTTACTGGGTTAAAGAAATCAAACTGGCCTGTAAGTAAGATCAAGATCAAGAACAGAAAAAAGACATGGTAATGCAAAGTATTACTTGGTCTGTACATAAAGAAAATTGTAGACCAAGCGGATACTAAACCCTGACAATGCCTAAGAGCAGGAAAGTTGAAGAAAGAGACAGTGGGATAATAGTGGAAGGAATAAATGCATATAAAGCCAAAACTCTGAAGACAGATATAGACAGCAACTGCTACCTTTGCAAAGAAGTTGAAGAAACAGTGAATCACCTGTATATATGCTACAAAACATTGCACAGACTACAAGCAGTGGCATAACACAAGTGGTTACAGTGGTTCATTGTTGCAAGAAATTTCATTTGACTATAAGAAATGGTAAGACTACAGAATAGACAAAGTAATAAAAAATAAAGAAGCTAAAGTGTTTTGGAACTTTAGAACAGGGGTCTCCAACCTTGGCAACTTTAAGACTTGTGGACTTCAACTTCCAGAATTCCTCAACCAGCAAAGCTTATCTATAGTCTTAAAGTTGCCAAGGTTGGAGATCCCTGCTTTAGAATTAAAATAGAGCAACACCTGCCACGTAACACCCAAACTTGGTAATTGCTGATAAGAAAGACAAAAAGTCTGGGTATTGGACATGGCAGTAGCTAAAGACAGCAGAATAGAAAAGAAAGAACCAGAGAAAATCATAAAATATAAAACCCGCAAATAAAAGTAAAAAGACATGGTACAAGGAAGTAGTAATAGTAATAAGTGCCTTGGATACAATTCCAAACCATCTGGCATACCACCTGAATACTATCAGCATTGACAAAATTGCTGTCATACAGTTGCAAAGTCAGCTTTACTTGGAACAGCTTACAGATTTGTATTGATACTTTTAATTTTAAATAAATCTACCTATCCCAGATCCTTGGGAAATACTTGATATGTGTACAACATACCAAATCCAGTCTAAATACCTTTGTAACTGCAACCAGATATAATAATAATAGTAATAATAATAGCAGCCAGACCAAGAAAAGCAACATATACCTGAGTTTAATTGTAGAAACATCATGTAAAGCTCTCCAGATTTTGTAGTAAACAGGATATGCAGAGAATTATTCTGCAATTTCATCTGGCCATCAGAATTTAATTGCCTACATTTTAGTTGTTCTATCTGTAGGACAAGCCATCCAACTATTGGTTTCTTAGTAATCCATCTGTGCAATTGAACCACAAATTAAGTAGCAAAGAGAAGAAGCACTGTAATGTCTGATTCATGACTGAGTCATGGGAAAATGAGACCTGGAGAAAAGGAAGTGCCTCTCCTCCCTCCCTCCCTCTCCTTCCTTCCTTCTTTCCTTCCTTTCTTCCTTTCTCCTTCCTTCCTTCTTTCCTTTCCTTTTGCCAAATTCAGAGGAGATCTGCCAGTTGTAGCTATAAGAAATGGGACAAAATATGATACCCAAAACATTTCTTCATTGCCATAGCTTTCAGCTATGAAAAAGCTGAAAATGTGGCATTCTGGGAAGCTAGAACCAATGTTAAGAGCTGCTGAATTAATTAATTGTGGTTTTTGTTGCAGGAAATATTAGGAAACAAGATGCTTCAAGAGTATCATTCTTAATAAGCAACAGCACTGCATAAGAAGAAGCCACAGATGATAGGATGTTTCATTCCTTTCTGGTTGCTAGAACTCCTTGAAAATATCAGTGTGTACCATATAACTAGACTGCCTCCTGCTCTGAACTTGTGGTGGAAGCAACCTATCCCATAGCAACTGGGAGCCAGCTGAGGCCCACTAAGCCTGTTTACATCAAGCAGCAAGTGTGAAGGGCTGAAAAACCAGCTGCAGCTGGAACTCCCCTTCTCATCATGCTGAGTTTTCAAGACTCAAGTGTGCAAATACTTGTCATAAAGGGAAATTCAGTACACTATCACTGTTTTGTCTGTTTACTGCAGCTGGTAAGGTGGGGAGAAGATATAGGAATGATTTGACATTTTCAGTAGAGAAAAGGCAAAAGGCTGAGTAAGGCTGAACAGTCCATTTCAAGATATTTTTAATTAAAAATTATAGTGGGGGGGGGACAATTTCAGGACAATTGTTCTGATACTTCCATTTCTACAAAATTACTGAAATTACAAAAAGAAATAAAAATGCTAATGAAAATACATTTACTTAAATCACCATTTATCCAATAATGCAGAGTATGCTAAGGAATATTGGCCATGATTGCATTTTTGTAGGCTCTTTATTGTTAGAATAATAATGCAATCAATACATTTCAATCCCTATTCTTTTATTTCCCTTCCTGTTTCTCTTATTTATTTAAGTAAAATTATGTATCTAAAGGGTATGTTAAAAGCAAGAAGTAGATTCATCCCCTATTTAGAGAAATGCATGTTCCTCTTGCCCATTTCCTATTAGGGCTGCCTGTGGGGAGTAAGACTCATCTTTCCTATATGCAAAGATTGCTGAGCTGGAATGCTATCCCATATTTTTCTTCCCATTTCCAGAACTAGGTCAGGAACAGCCCTCCCCTCAAGCAGTGTCATCTGAGTAGAGTACCGAATGGAGCGGGATAGCAGAGGCAAAACTATTCTTTTCTAAAATGATTATTATTGTCTATGGGATTTGGACTCATCTGAGTGGCTGTGTTTGCAAAGTGTCTTTTGACATTTATTGGTAGGATTGCAGGTACATCATTACTAGAGGAATAGACAAAAATGATCTGAAAAGGAAGACCCAAGCTTTGACCAGGACACTCCTGTACTTGGATTATTTGCCAGTCAGAAAGCAGCTCCAGAGTTCTATGAGCATTACTGGGAAAATGAGTCAATATAATTCTAATTCAGCTGCATTGTAATTGAAAGTACAGTTTATTGCTGTCAGAAGTTGTGGATACTTCATAGTTGAAGGTTTTTAAGAAGAGACTGGAGTTCCTTGTCTGAAATGGTATAGGGCTGTGATGGCGAACCTATGGCACACATGCCGGAAGTGACACACAGAGCCATTTCTGCTGGCACAAGAACTGTCACCCAGAACAGATCCACTGCATATGCACCCCCCACCAGCCAGCTGATTGTTGGGTATCTGCGGCGCATATGAGGGGGAGACGTGCATGCATGCACAGGGGGCAGGGCATGCACAGGTCACGCACACATGTGCAGAGGTACATGGTGCAGGGGGATCATGCACACATGCACAGAGGCATGTGGTGTGCATGCGGGGGGGGTCACGTACATGCGCAGGGGCAGGAGGGTCATGCACACATTGTATTATGGGTGCAGGCATGCGTGTGCACATGCACACACATGCACATACTTTCGGCACACAACGACAAAAAAGTTAGCCATCACTGGTATAGGGTCTCCTGCTTGAGCAGTGGGTTGGACTAGAAGACCTCCAAGGTCCCTTCCAGCTCAATTCTGATTGATTGATTGATTGAGGGTTTTGCTTTGTTTTAATTTTTCAGGTAGAATGGCTTTGTGTTTCCTTTGAAAAATATCTTCCCTTACTTTTTTTTCCAGCTCCTGAATGTCACACAGGTATGCAAACAACAAACCAAAAAAATCTAACTATAGAGGTCACATGCAAGCCGACAGCATTGTTTTCTCACTTCTACAGTTCCATCCAGTGGAACCTTTACTGCATTTGAGGAGCGTTGGAAAATATAACAACCTCTTTTGCATTAAGGAGGGGAAGAAATTGAAGTACCTAAGGAAAAATAGATGCTTTAAGCTTTCAGATGTATAGGTACCCATTTGAACTTATCCCCCAAAGCTCTTGGTTCCCTGTGCTTTTAGAGTGAAGTTGTCGATAATTTCTTTCTTTATTATGTTTCTGTGCTGTATATCACAAAATGACTTCCAGTGGTTCACAATGGAAACCAACCTTAAGGTCTCAATGAACAATCAGTAAGCAACTCAATAGTACATCCTATGCAAATGTTTGCTGGCTTCTCAACCCACTGGAACCATGCTAGATAAAAGCCTCTGCTAAACAAGACCACTTTAACAGCTTTCCTAAAGGAAAAATCACTAGTCAATATGTCCCAGAAAGTCTGGTTTGGTCAATAGTCATACAACTCTCTTAAGGGAAATGTTAAGGAGGAAGGCTGTGAAGAAATCTGATTTGAAGGGCAAAATAATTTGAAGTACATTTCTCCTGGAACTGAACAGTTTCCTCCAGAATTGCTGCATAAGTCTTACGCAGCAATTAAATTACACTTCATTACAGTTACAAGAAAGCCTGGAAGATAGCATAAAACTGTTTTCAGATGCCCATAGGCAGTATATTTAATAGACCAGTAATAATTTATTTTATTCCCATTTCTCTGAAACTATAAAAAAATATCCCTCTGTGTGTGGGGGTGGGTGGGGGTGAATGTGTGTGTGTGTGTATTCACACAAGTATAAAGTAGAACCTCTGGTCACAACCATTATTCATTCCATAACTTTGGCTATTTCTTCATCTTCTTCATCTTCAGGAATTTCTGAGTCAGGGGTCGTGTTTGATTGCCAACCAAGTATGTGTTCGTGACCAGATTCAAACTTTTTGTGAATCTTTTGGTCGGAACCCGATTTGGTCATGGTCAGAAGCGTTTGTGACCAGAGGTTCTACTGTATATTACAACATTGGAACTGTTCAGAGTTCTACTCTAACAGCATCTTGGAAAAAGCCTGCACCAAACCTAAGAAAACAATTCTACTTTCCACATAGAAACCAGCTTTATCTCACAGCATAACATTCTAATTTAAATTACTATAAGCAGATTATTATCCAGTATATGTAGATATTTCTACTATAAACTCATGAACAGACTCAAATTTTACATTACAGAAAAATATTTTTCTTATGGGTAAATTAATGTTTGTTTCTCAAATTTCAGTAGGTTGAATGTTATGTAGAACTGATATAGCTGATCTATCAGCTTTCTCTTTGTTTAGTTGTCCAGAAAACACAGCAGAGAAGAACTACTGTACACAGATAGTCACTTATATTTCAGTCAAACTTCTAAATGCAAACATCTGTACTAACAAAGAAGTATACATTTAAAAACCATGTCATGAAGGACTGTTGTTGTTTTTGAAACTCAACATTTTTCTTCAAGTTTTATCTTCTACCATGCTTTTAGCAGGGTTTGTGATTGCAGATCTCAACATATTTTATTCATATTTGTTCTCTAAATTTCTATGCTATAATAAAATAAATCGACTTACCAGTTTAAAAACTTTTAAAAAGTGATCTTGACAGGATCATTCTCTTTTTGTCGGGTACTTTGTAAATTAAAGAAAAAGGATACATGTAAAGCAAAAAATAAAATACAATCTCTCTGTAAACTAAGGATTGTTCTGCAAATTGTTAGCCAAGAAACTGTGTTGTTTTTTTTAAAAGAATCAGTTCTTCTAAAAATAATACCTTGGCTGATTGGAACTTCCCACATCTGTTTCTTCTATATTTATTTATATCCCAACCTTATTAGTCTTGCATATAACTCAAAGCAGAACATAGATCCACCATACCTTGCTTTTTTTATTTTCCCCACAGCAACAATCCTGTGAGGGCTGAGAGAGTGTGACAGAATAGATCACCCAGCTAGCTTTCATGCCTAAGGAAGACTATAACTCAACAGTTTCACAGTTTCACCCAGGTCTGTAGATTTCATTGCGCAATTACAGCACAAACTTATCAAAACACACTCCAAAGCTCTTGCCATCTACACACACACACACACACACACACACACACACACACACACACACACACCTAATTTTCAGATAAGAAATGTGTTATTATTGTTTCCGGTTGTATAGATTAGTATCTATGATATCAGAAGTTAAGATTTTACTCAATTTGCTTTTCAGAATACAAAGATGTGTTCCAGTACCAGGCAGGTTTGAAAAATGAGTCATTATGCTGATGGCCAGATAAAGCCAGACCCATATGAGAGACTAATGAGAAATTACTCATATTCTGGTTTAAATTTTATCTGATCTTCCACTATTTCTTGTATCCAACCCCATATTTCAGTCCAGTACTTTTGGGCTTTTGGGCATGACCATCACATATGGTAGAAGGTACCTTGGTTCTGTTTGCATTTCCAGCATTTCAGATTCACGTTAGAGTACATTTTTGCCAATCTCATTGGTGACAGGTGCTAACAATAAAACATCTTGTATATATTTTCTTTATAAGCTGCCGATCTTGTTAATGTATAATTTTTATTCCACATTTTTTCCCAATCCACTAAGTCTATATTATGTC